TACCCCGGGCGGCACCATTGTTCCCGGGCTGCGGAGACCGCCACAAAGGGAAGCCTTCAGGCCCGGGCGTGGGGCGGCCGCCCCCGGAGCCGGGCCGGGATTCCGATCCGGACAGACTTTAACTCCCGAGAAACCACCAGCTCCTAGTCGCCGCATCCGCGATTCGAGGAAATGAAACGCCATTAATATTTGAAAAGGCAATTATTTTCCTGTTGAACTGTCTTCATGAATAATTCGTACTGAGGTCTACTGCCATTTGAGAAACATTTTGTTGGTTTTTCCCCCCTTTTCATTACTTGGGAGGGGTTTTGAGAGAAACGCCGGCGCGGCCAGGCGAGGCTCTGTGGTTTTTCGCTCCAGCGACAAGGCTCCGGGGCTGCCCGTGGGAAGGACGCGCCTAGAATTCGGTCCTGAACAGAAGTGAACCTGAGCCGGCCCGGGCGCACGGAACTCGCTTCTCTGCTGTAGGTCGATTGCACTGAGAATTTAACCATTTTCTGCTTCACGGCCTTCAAACAGTAGGCCCACAAAGCGCAGTGAAAGTTTGTCAGTTTAGAACTCCCCGGTCATTAAAAATCGGCTCCTTCTCGGGCTCGGGACCGCCATTCTACTGGGCGCCCGCTCCCGACGGCCGGCCGGCGGCGGGCAGCACCCCACCTCCTCCAGGCCGCCCGCGAGGAAACCCTGAGGGGGCGGGGCGGGGGCGGCCTGGAGACGGCTCCAGAAAACCTTGCGTTTCCAGACGCGCTCTAGAAATAAAACCGGAGACTAAAAGCAGGCGTTGGTCTGCCTCCGCGTGTGCCAGGGTCCCGGCCGTGGACCTCCTCCCAGGCTGCGGGGTTGGTGCGAGAAGGCGGGCCTTAGCGAGGCTCTTTCCCGGACACGGCCAGCCTGGGAGAGTCCTTTGGCTCTAATAATTGCCAATGTTTCCACCAGTAATAGAGGTGAGTAAAAGAGAGCGCCGGGGAGTAGGAGAAGCGGGGCCTCAAGCTGGAACTTATTTCATACCCTGGTCTCACTCCGGTCCGTTCTCCCCCCGCCAAAAAACAAAAACCAGCCAAACAAAAAAGCGATAGGGGAGGGGAAATGTTGACCTCTTAAACTTGGGGGGTGGGCGAGAAAACCCTAGCTAACTAGAATACAAACATGACTGCAAACTAATTAATGTGACTTCACGGGCTGTGCTGGGAAGTGTGAGAACTTTCTCCTTGCAATTGCATTAATGAGAGATGCTTCTGGCCGGAGAAGTTCGACTTCGCAGGCTCCTGCCCTGGTTCCTTTTCTTTCTGTTAACTAGAACTAACAGATGTGGTTGACACATGTCCCCATTTCACTTAACAGCTCGGTAAATGACATTTAAGGCCGATGAGTCTCCTTGGATCTCTGCTAAAGCAGAAGGGAGGATTTGTCCCAAGTGTCCAGTCATCTAGGCTCCAAAACAGGGCCAAAGTTAGCCGAGAGACCCCAAATCCTAAAGAAGGCGCCAAGGGCCTGATGACCCCTCAGTTCAGGTGGCGGTCAGGTTGTTAAGCTGGATGAGTGCTCGCCAAAGAAGCCAGGAAAAATTAAATTGTTCCTATATCTTTAAGACTGAGAAACAGTACTATTTTAAATACCTTAAAATCAAGCTAAATGAGCGGGGAACACAGATACGCACACTCAGAGATGCAAACACGGTCACCCCCGGCCGCCAGAGCAGAAATCCCCTACTATTCTCCCCACGCTGAGCCTCGGGAACCTCTGTGATTCTAATAGAAAGGCATAATTAATGTTTTATGGGCTTGGCTCATGGAAACACCAAATATCCCCCCATCTCCCCAGATGGAACTTGAGGAAATCCAGCCCGAGGGCCCGGAAGAGGCCTCCAGCTTCCCCACAGGATCTGCATGAGATTTGCCGAATACTGACCTGTGTGAGTTCTTTTGTGTATTTTGAGATTTTCTGATCTAGCAAAGACCTTCCCACACCCCGGGAAAGGACAGGGAAAGGGCTTCTCGCCCGTATGCACGCGGATGTGATTTACAAGTTTGTATTTGGCTTTAAAGGGCTTGCCCTGGCGCGGACACTCCTCCCAGAGGCAGATGTGGTTGGCCTGCTCCGGGCCGCCGACGTGCTCCACAGTGACATGCGTGACCAGCTCGTGCATGGTGCTGAAAGTTTTGGAGCAGAAGCGCGGGGGCGCGGGGCCGTCGGCCGCCAGCCACTTGCAGATGAGCTCCTGCTTGATGGGCTGGCGCATGTAGCGGAAGAAGGCGCCGGGACCATGGGGCGCGGCGAGGTTCACGGTCAGGTTCAGGCCCCCGTAGCCGTGCAGGGCCGCGGCAGCTGCCAGGGCGTCGCCGCGGGCCACGGGTCCCGGCGCGAAGGGTTCGGGACGCGCGTACATTTCTCCGGGGAGCCCCAGACGCAGGAGTCCGTTCAAAGTGCCACTGGCGGAGGCCTCGGGAGGCTGTTCGCGAAGGCCAGGGAACACCCAGGGGCTGGAGGCTGCCGCGAGCTGGGGGTCATGGCGTCCGGAGCCACTACCTGCGGTCGAGACAAATAG